ATATTAAAACAAATAGAAATTGAGAAAAATCGTCCGGATCAAACTTTACTTAAAGTCGAATAATACACTGCTTGCTTATATTTATAAATTATATTATATATATTTAGGTATATATACAATTTAAATAATTTCTGTAGATTACACGAATATACCGATTGCGTATAATTATAAAATATATAATATATTGGTAGGTATATCATAATTATTTATGAGTATTGGTACCAAATTAAAATTCTTCGTGAAAGGCGAAACGATTGAATTGTAAGACGTGAAATGGTGATATTAATATTATCTCGAAACCTCAATAATACTTATATCGGTTTTATGTACGGATATAATGCACAAATTTAGCGTTTCGAATCTTTGCGGGAGGGAAACTTGAGTTAGTCCATTATATCATAGTTGTAAGAATACCTCATACAACATATAATATTTTTTTATATAATATTGTTTTTGGCAAAAAATAGATAATACAAAAAATGTATTCATCATACGTTATACAAATACATAAAATATTTGCAACATAGTATATAAACATTAAAATTAACAATGAAAATAATATCTTAGATAGATATCGAAGATACTTATTTGTATTGTAATAATATTACGAAACAATTGAAATTTTTTTTCTTTTTGAAGTTTCTTAAAAAGTTACCTATATTATCACACAATGCATTATACCTACCTATAATGACTATATTCAAGTTAATTTTTTGAAATGGTGACAATGTACACACCCTCATTCTTTGAGTTTAAGTATTTTTTCTAATATCCTTTTCCTATTAAGTATTCTTTCTAATATTAGTCACTTAAACGCCCGATATCAATTCCGATGTGATTTTGTCGTAACCTTTGTGTGTGATCTTAGATTAGTGTACAATATAAAGTACAAAATGATTTTCTTAGGTTTCGTCTTTGTAATATTAAGCAATTTAGAAAACCTATGAAATCCGTAACAGCAATAATGGAAATAGATTATATTTCTTTGGTACAATGTTGTACCAAACAGATAACAAAATAATAATATCACGTGTATATTATTGAAAATGTATTAAAAAAGTAATTATCATACTTGTAGATTAGTTACTCATGTATTAAAACATAAATTTATTTAAAATTTATTATTCTTAATATATATTATATATTAATAATTTCTAAGACGAATCATTGATGTTAAAAGAATAAAAATATTTTATATTTTGTTTTGCTCTCTCGTTCTATAAAATTAATATTATTTCAGACGAGCTGAGTGGCCGACAACTCACGGAAAAAACAACAACATCGTACATAAAAAACTTTCATTGTACAATGTAAAGGTTCATAAACTATAAAATACAGGCGCAACAAAATAATTTTATAGTCCCGCAGTCACGCTAACTATTCGTCTAGACTCTAATATAATAAAATAGCGGTGAGAACGGAGGAGCAACCAACATTCCTTAACGATTACATAGCAATCTATCCGAGACGTACATACCTACTCTAAAAAATACCCATATATGGATATAAAGAAATTATAAGACATTGGCTGGCCATCTTCATAAACCATCTTCTACAAAACCTACTATTGTAGTCATGAATTTTTTTTTGTATGGTACTAAAATGTCATACAAAGGGAAAATTACACATATACACATGACAAAACTAAGAAAGGGGTTCTACAAAATATGACAATATGTTACTCAAGCACCTAAGAAACAGAATACCACTGCTGAAATTACACGAGGGGCGAATAAAAACAGCAACAATATATCATGACGCAATTCAGAAGAACAAATCATCAAAAATTCACTACAGCACTTACATACATGAAACTATACAAATATTATACTAACTTACAAAGTCGTAATACCAAATATTTAATTCATCACTATACTAAGCAAGTATAAGGTACACGACAGAAACACATCCTCTTCGCATACGCACAATTTAACATTTACTTAAATATTAATCCTAAAATATTGTACAAACGGACGATAATAACACTCACGAACATACGACATAACAAAACACTGTATTCTTGCAAATAGTGCCGAAAAACCAACGACAATATGCAAAATACGACATAAAATGTACGCATATGCGCACTGTCCGTTAATCGGTCAAACAAAAAGAGATGAACAAACGTGAACAATCAATGCTGACGTTAAGTATATCAACAATTGAGTGGGGATGAAACAATCGCTTCCTTATATAAACGCCACGCACAGACAATAGACTACTGCTGCGAAACCCGACAACACCGACCAGCTTTTCTGTTGACACGAAATCAATCTTTCTTCACAAAGTGAGGTAAGTGAATATACATATGTATTACAATCGAAGACAAATAATCAATTTCGTACTCAACTAATAATATTCAGTAGTAGGATAAAAATTACGATAAGCGCGCCATATAAACTAGTTACACCCTTTATAATTTGCACCTTGATTCTAAAATAAATTATCCATTCCGACACACATTAATTTTTACCTTAACCTGATACCTGCTTGACGTGTCAACCTATTTCTGTTGTAGTAATAATAATATATGCACAAAGTAATTCAAAATTCATTTAAATATTAAAAATTAATTAATAATAATTAAATCACAATATAAATAATGTTTGTAAAATAATACAACAATTAAATAAATACAATACAGTATTATAATATATTATACAAAATGATACATATTAAAATATTTGATAACATTTTTTATCATGTATTCATTATTTACATATGTATTATAATATAACGCTATTCCGTATAAAAAGATTCCAACCAATCAATGTATTTATTTGGTTTTATATGTTATGTGTAGTACTTTTATTCATATAACGATATAGGTTATAACGATAATCCGGATATAGCTATGTTATTTTGAAACGAAAATTTGTTTTTATAATCACCTATTGCAATTAATAATATTTATGTACATTGTGTAGTCAATTTGATTTCCTCTGGAGCGATAATTCTCATCTGCAACAAATAATGTGTCTTGTGCGAAGAAATCGTATTCAATAAGTACTGTACTAAACCGCCGACCGTCTTACTACTTTGTAATAATATATTTTAAACATATTTAATTTACATTAGATCGCAGATACAGATGACTCTATAAAATTACTTTGCCACTTTCGGCAATTTCGAGAATCAAAGTTGTATGACAATTTTTCAACAAAAAAAAATGTTTCTAGTTTTGAACCCAAGGATTATACGCCAACATCAACACCTGCGTCGGTACTCTTTGATCCGCTGGTACTCCTTTGATCCACCTCCTAGTCTATAAAGTGTATCTATTAGTTATTGGATACTTTGTATATATACGAGCCTCCTTCCATATCCAAATTAGAATTAGCATAGTGCCAGTACGACGTACACGCTTGTGAGTACTAAGTATTAGCAACTAATCTCGCGGGCAGGTGTTTAACGCTCTGTCCTCAAATTTCTATTTCAAATATAAAACTAGTTTACTTTTTATAAACGTAAATAAATTACTTATAATCACTACAGTGTAATTTGTCACTCTGTACCACCTATCCTATGCAACACATCAACGTCGTCGAACTCAAATTGTAAACGATAGTGAGGGATCACTACAGTACTACACTACTTTCTATTTCGGAAATTCATTTTTATATTGATCATTAGCGTACTTTTGTTTTGGTAAACGGTGATATAAATAGGCTAGAATTATAATGCTAGTAAAAATATTTCTAATTTTGTAAAAAAATCTTATTCAAATCTATAAACAAACCACTATAATAAATTATTTTTCCAACAAATCGTAAACATATACTATATAGTATATACTATATATAACATGTACTTTTATTAAAAATTATAAATACATACATACCTTGAATATTAAAATACAATGTAATATTAAATTAAATTAAACAGTAAAAAATCAATTAATAAATCAATTTGTCAAGAAAATCATGTTACTTTTTAAGATCCGGATATAACGAAGTTCGGTTATAACGATCATATTCCCTAGGTCTCTAGAACAGGGGTCTCCAAACTTTTTTATTCAAGGGATACAAAAAATATCAAATGTTCTTAGCGGGCCAAAAGAAAATTAACACATATAATTTTTACTTTTATGAAAATATAGGTATACAAATATAAGTTAACTTTAAATCTTTTTATAAAATATTGTCTAAAATATGCTTAAATATAATTGGTGTAAATTTAAATGATAATATATACATTGTAATTTTAATAATTTTTTTTTTTTTTAATGAGAAGTATAAAGTTGATGTTTTTCTGATAATATTCGATCGAATTGAGGTTGTATGTTGCTAGTTCTAATTTTCAAAATTGACTCCAAGTGTTTGTCAGTCATGGCCGATCTATATTTTCATTTGATATATATCATTTTGGAAAAAGTTTGTTCGCACAAATCAGTCGTAGCAAATACAGATATATATTCAATTGCATTTTTTTTTAAATTTGGATACTGTGTTTCTGGGAGAAATTTATAAAAATCAACTAAAGTCTCTTCACAATGTTTGATTTTCATTGAATCATTACTTTGTAAATAAATAATTTCCATTTGAAGGGTAGGAGGTGACTCCTCAATATCACAACTAAACGGGTTTTAAAAAATATTTATTTCTTCCGATTTTACGTCAAGGTCAGAAAAACATTGTTTAAATTGGATTTTAAGTTCAGAATTTTTTTTTTGAGCAAAGTTGACATGGGATTATGTTTTTGATTCATTGTTATATTTATCACAAGTAGAAAAATGAATAAAACGAAAAAAGAAACTCTGTTTCTATTTCTTTCAAAAAATCATGAAACTGACGATAATTTACCGCGATAATAATTTTTAAATTACACATATCTTTAAATATCTAACCTTTTTTATCTAACCTTTTTTTTACGTATATTATAACATGTATGTATTGTGTGTTTACAGACGCTCACTCGACACATTGCGACTCGTACACGAATATCAGGAGTACCTCTTGGAATATTTACACAACTTGTCCTGTACCTACGTGCCAATTACAATGAAAGCAATATATGCAGTGTTTTTCTACATATCGTTAGCAATTGCATTATGTTCACCCAATGTTTCCACGTTCTGTGGAAACGATGAACAGATAGAAGATTTTAAAACGCTCTTAATAATTCACGAATCCAGTTTCACGGCAATGACAACATTGAGTGCAATACCTTTAACCGGTGCGGCGTTAACGTTCTTACAAGTGATGTCAGCTGGTAATTTTGCTTTGCGTTTGAACTATGCATTTGATAAAATGGAAAGTTCGTTGAATAAAAATCATTTAGATTACAAACAATGTTCGGAAATCTTAGAAAAAACAGAAAAAGCATCCACAGTCATCAAGTCAACTAGTCTTGGGTTCTCTCTTGAGGCATTAATACCGGGTGTCGGTGTGGCACCTTCACCTCCGAGGATAGCTGAATCAGCGGTATCTGCTATGTCACTTATAAGAGACGGTTTAGACTTTTGGCAAAAGACCGGTTGCCAAAATGCTACAATAAGAGATTGTTATTTATAGGTGAATAAATAAATGTACCTACATTAATGATTTGATTGTAAACGTTAATAATACCTATATTATATATTAGTTTTATCATAAAAAAAATTATGTTTGATTTCATTTAATAAAAAATTATCCGTTGGAAGTTTTGTTTACCTATTATTATTTTATACGACGCGAACCTTTTGTATTCATAGGTAATATATTATAATGGTTAGGTAATTAGGCTTTCACGTGCGTTACCGAATCCAAGAGGTAATATATTTTTTATTCCATAACCAAATCATTTTAAATGTAAGAAAATATAAATTAATATAACTACTCACAATAATATTAGTTATAATTTCGTCGCCTAAGAACCATCATGGCCAATCTCAAAAAATTCAAATATATGTTTTATATATCTATAGATTCGTATTTTCGAGACGCATAAGACCAAGTGATTAGTTTCGATGTTTGTCTAATAGGTTTGCTATAAATATTCTAAAAGTCATCATGACCTATCTAAAATTGTTTTTATCAGTGGTATATCATGGCCTATCTAAAATTTTTATTAGCAGTATCATAGGTGGGATCATGGCCTATCTAAAATTGTTATCAAAAAAAAAAATTGTTATCATGGCCAATCTAAAAATATCGGAACTGCCACTATTAATAGAGAGCCGTCAGCAGCCAAAAACTCGATGAAATCAGTATTACTAATATTATTATTATTATTGACAATAAGATGAAACTTTTTAGAGTTATTTAATGTCAAAAGGTCTACCAACATTCAAAATTCCTAACAAAAAAACAGTTTTTTGTTCACCCTGAAAAGTTGGGAAAACTGAGATTGGCCATGATGGTTCTTAGGCGACGATTTGTATTTAGGTAGGCAACAATAGTCTATACAATACATTATTCATATAAATTAATACGCCAGAATGGAATATTTTATAAATTAATTTGTAATTATAATTCAATGTATTCTGTATTTGTTTATTAAAACTGTAAAAGTATAAGACCATGGTCCAAATAGTTTTTATGACTGTCATGGTCGAACACTTTTAGAATTTTACCAGAGAAGAATATTTTAATTGATTAATCTTCATTTTTTATGTCATTATTCTTGTTTAATTTATATAATGCCGAAAGTGAATTAATTTGGCAAATTTTACTTGTTTTCTCTACGTGTGTAAACTATCATTTATTTTGCGTATTTCATGAAATATACGTTCCTATATCTATATATTTTATAATAATTACGTTTGTTAGTGGCGATGAGTGACGATTTAAAAATGATGATTTATTTTCAAAATTTTCGCGGTATTTGGTTTATATACATTTCACTTTATTTCATTTACTAAATACAATTTATATGTAGTAACTTGTTAACTTAAGTTGTTCAATATATTACAGTGATCTTCAAACTTTTGAAAGTTTGTTTATAAAATAAATTAAATAGTTAGTTAATTAAATGATCAATACACTAAGGCCTTAATTTAAGTTATAAGCTGAATAACAAGATTCTTTCATTACTCCAAAGATGGAGATCAAAAAAAAAAAAAAAAAAAATTAGAATAAAAAAAAAATTGTTTATTTTTAATGTAAAAGTAATAAAATGAATGTCTTGACAAATATACATTTTTGATTGATGTCATTTAATTGTTCTATTACAGTGACCTTCAAACTCTTTGAAACTTTGTTAATATAAATATTAAATAGTTAGTTAAGAAAATACCCTACGCCTAACCTAATGGAACACACTACTTAGATACATCAATTTATTATATTATGGTGTATTTAAAATCAGTCAATAGTCATTCGTTCTGTAGTATGTAAACGGTACCTAAACATTAAAATGGAAATGCGTTTTGGAAATGCGAAATACTTTTTCGCATTGTCGAGATGCCTTATATATGTATATCAAAATTGTTTCATTTAATATTTAAATGTAATTCATATTAATTGTTATTCGTTAACTATACAAATGTAGATAAATATAATAAAAACAAGTCATTAACAATTTAATTTGGACTCAGATATAAATATATCTATAATCTATATACTGTTATAGTAATACAATATACCTACTTACTAATTAAACACAATTTTTATATGGTACAATAAAATACATTTTGTTAGGTAGGTAGATGATTTAGTAGTTGTATTGTTAATTAAATACCAGTACGCGCGCGGGAAGTTAAACTTCTTTTGAATGGTACACGTGAGTGAGTGAAAAAGAAAGAAAAAAATATTAATTAATTTAAAAAATGAGAAGAAGTATCCGGAATTATTTATTATTGATAGTTTTATTTTATTTTTTATATTTTTATTCGACAGATCGATGGATAATTGTTTGTAGTATTGTTTTTATCCAGACAATAGATTTGTGAGTGAATACTAATAATAATAATACAAATAAATGATAATCGATCATTAATTATTCATTTTAATTAGTATGGCCCGATTATAATATATAATACTAGCTGATCCCGTGCACTTCGTCGCCCTTTAAATGTATCAACTCAATATGAGTTATGACTCAAACTTTGTTCAATTCGTTAATCAATATTCGGTGTATGGTGTTCAAAATTTATCTTATCTTTTCCGTTGCCCGGAATAAAAATTCTGAATCGCAGCAGTACATTATCAGGTAGGCAATCTACCTGCGGTAGATCACGGACCCCGTGCTGTTTGTACGGAAGTGTATGATTTAACTTTGAATTATCAAAGTTATAACAAGTTTATTTTGATATAATACGGTGGATTAATATAACAAATTTGGTTGCTCGTAAAAAATCACAATTCTAACCATGACAATATTTATTTATTTACGGACATGTACGCTTTCGCGTTCGTACGGCCGCCCGTTCGTACACGCCGCCCGATCGCTTTTTTTTTCCTCACTACCGTGCGTAAAGAAGTATAACTTCAAAAATGCAGGAATATAAATTTATATAATTAAAAAATATTATACTTGAAATTTAAACCATTTTGTTAAATTGATGTATTAAAATTAATATGAGTAGAGGTGTAAATTACATTTGATTATATAAGTACCTAGCTCACTATAGGTATTATTATAAAAATGAAAATAAACAACAAATTATCTGGGTAATTGTTATAGATAATACTATCTATTAGGAAATCAATCATTTTTACAACTTTTTTGAAAAACTGTAAATAGTTTTCATACTTGAATGCACTAAATACATCTAAATAACCATGTATTAAAACAAAATCAGCTGGATGTATCAGAATATGAACATTATAATATCCAACATATCCTTCACCATAATAAGAACCAAGAACCATATTCATGTACAAATCTTTTTAACATGTCTTTAGCCAAATTATTATGCGTACAACAATTTTCTGAAGAAATAAGAAGTCTTATGTGCGAAATTCCGTTGCTTTCCGATGTTTACATTTTTTCAATTGGTCTAGGCAAGTGATTAAATTCTGAATGTAAAATATAACATTTAGGATTAATAAATTCTTCTGAAACAGCATTTGGATCTACCAAACGAACAGGTTTCTTACCTTTTACCCAGAATACAATTAGCTTCTTCATAACCCCAAAACAAATGTTATGCATATATTTAAGTTAAACTTCTAATTGGCTTGATTGAGATTTGTGTAGAGTGTTGGTGGTTGTGTGATGTGGACGTAGGTGACACTCACAATAGTAATAAAGAACGCAACACTCGGGTTTTTAGTTAAAGTCCGCGGGGGACGTTTATTCGTGGTAACAAGAATAATATGTTAATTATGGTAATATAATCATACAGTATTATTCGATGGTAGTTTTGGCGAAAACGTAACGGCGAGTAGTCGTTTCGACGGTTGGGGAACAAGAATGGTGTTGTCGGTCGGACGGTCGGCGTAGATAAGGGTTCCCGGCTCGTACAAAAATTGTTTTGGGGGGAAAATGTTATTTTTTTTTTAAATATAAAGTAATAAATTTATTGTGAAGGAACATTTTAAAATGAGATAATGTTAAATATTAAGCGTAAATTATCAGAAAAGTACATACTAGATTCGAAAACATATTAAAATCAAAATATACTACCCGAAAAGTATTTTGTATAAGCAATAATTAATTAGAAAATATAACTAATTATTTATTTACTGAAACAAATTTCAAAATAAATATTGTTCAATAGAAATTGTATAGTTGACGAAAAATACTTAAGCTTAATTATTTTTGGTTAAAAAATAAAATTTCCGAATAACATTTGAGCTTATATAGATTTTCTGATAAAAGTTTTATTGAGAATGAACTTAAAAAAAAAAAAATGGTTAGGTCAAAAAAAGTGTAATAGAAGAGTATTTTGTTAGAAGAACTGTTTATATATAGGATCCGGGAATTACATTAAGTTTAAAAACTGGGTGGGCTACTTACCTACATATTTTGACCTTCAAATGTCATTTATTAATCGTTAATTTTATGTCTTATACACAGTGATTATTTTAACTTAGAACACTCGTTATTTCAAGAAGTGTAAATGTTTTTGAAAATATTATTTTAGATAGTTTCAAGTTGTTTACAAAACCATTTTTTATTAAAAATTATATTTTCAAATATTTTTTGTCACTATAATTTTTATTATAGTATGCACTTAAAATATATTAAATAATCATTAATTATATGAACTTTAAAATGGGAGAAAGAAATCCAAACTAAAAATTCAGTATTACTCAGAAAATTTAAAATCTAGATGTTGTGATTTGGTATTACAATAAACTGTATCAGTGGCGGATATGGGGGATAGACCCCCCCCCCGGTGGCACGTGGGTTGAAAAAAAATTTTAAATACTTAATCTCAGTTTTTTTTATAAACATTCAAAGTTCAAAAATTGAAAAAAATATGGAAAAATCAGCAAATTATTTTGCGTTGAGTATTCATAAAAAATTTTATTTTTAAATCTAAGATTTTAAAATATAATACAAGATTCCTTATAAGATTATCAACCTCTATCAAAAAAAAAAAAATGAATATAAGAAAGTCAAATTAAATTTTTATAATCGTTTT